CAAGTTTCGCAAATGTATACCATAGTCCTTATTAGTAATTAAAAATCGCATTAATCTTAAGAAATAATTAACCGAAAAATTTGTAACTTGAAGAATTTAGCAAATAATAGAAAAACAAAATGTCCATTTAAGCAATCAAATCGGTAACATAACTCAACAAAACAGTAAATAACATTGAATTGTAGCAATATATCAAAACCACCTGGTGTGGGTCGGAGAAAAAAAGCATTAACAAAGGCCAAACAAAACCTGGAAAAGATTCATCTTTATGGATTAATTATTAAATGTTTGTTGTTGTCTTACGCTGAATTAAGTCTACAAAAAGATTGTGAAATATCTTCGTGTTTGTTTTTACGATTTAGGAGTTCTACCATTTCCAACCTGAAATTAGTAAAAATATTTTGAAAATTATTTTCCCTATTTTTCCTTTCTCTTTATTTATTATCATACGGTACTTGTTTTAAGTCAATAAAAAATAGGTGAGAAAGGTTGGTAGGACACCTTCTTAGGTATGAAACAAAAATACCGGTATGAAAGAGGAGAAAAAGTAGGGAAAAAGACAGATAAGTCAGAATGGAAGGAGTAGTAGGCATATAAAGCAGAGGATAGCGCAGGGTCGTGTCGCCTTTAATAAAACGAAGTCATTTCTATGCTCGCGAACGGCTAATTTAGAAATTCGAAAAACGTTGTTAAAGGTGTATGTTTGGAGCACGGCGTTGTACGGGTGCGAAACTTGGACAGTAGGCGCGGCGGAAAAGAAAAGGTTAGAAGCTTTCGAAATCTGGTGTTATAGGCGGATGATGAGGGTAACGTGGATAGAAAAGGTTAGAAATGAAGAGGTATTAGAAGGAATGGGAGAACAGAGGACTCTATGGAACTCAATAAAAAATAGGCGAGATAGGTTGGTAGGACACCTTCTCAGGCATGAAGGTCTAGCCAGAGACGTATTAGAGGCAAAAACAGGAGTTAGGAGGGGTAGAGGTAGACCTTGGTTAGATTACTCTTCACAAATAGTTAAGGATGTGGGTTGTTCTAGTTTTAGGGAAATGCGAAGTTTAGCCCAGGATAGGAAAGAGTGGACGTACGTGTCCAACTAGTCGTAGGACTGACGACCCTATGATGTTGATGATGATGATGGTGCTTGTTTTGTTAATACCGCTTCCATTTTATTTAAAGTTATCTCTAACTCCTCCTTGCTAGATGCTAACGCTGTTATATCATCTGCAAATCTAAACATACTAATCTTTTGCCCCTGTATATCTATCCCTACAGTTGTACTGTTTTTAATGATGTTGATCGTGTCTTCGATGTATAGATTAAAAAGTAGTAGTGAAAGGGTGAATCCCTGTCTGACTCCCTTCCTAATGTTTACTTCTTATACAAATATGTTCATTTTAAGAGTTTGCCATGTGTGTACCAAAATTACTGGTGATCGCGGTCGATTAAAATCCTAAGAAATCCTGCAGTAGAATCAGGAAACGGGCACGACCAGCGTCGGAGTCAGTGCATTACCATTGAAAACGGTTTCAACTACGCGTGTTCCGACTAAGTTCAGGTGAAGAGGCACTTTCGAAAGTTCCGGGACGAAAACAACATTTTAATACAGAGAGAAACTATGCTCGCGCAAGTTGTACAACTCTGGAACTTTTTAAGCAGTTGTTCCCGGATTGTCGAGATTTTATTACAATCGAAAAGTTGTGTGCTAGCTAGCAAGTTTAAACTCAGCACAAAGATTGAAATTTATTCCAACTCTTGAATCGTTTGCATAGTATTTGCTCAACAAAAGCCGTTTTGGCTTTTACATTTATTTATTTTACCATCGGGAACCCCTATCACGTGTAATAACAATGAGAATCGGTGAATTGGACTTGTAATGGATTTAGAAACTTACGCGGATTAAACTTGTTCCGGTATTACGTCTTCAACTGGTCGGGAAAATTACCTCTCATGTAAAAATTTACGATCATCTTATCCAATTTAACTAAAAGCATAAATGAGAAACCCAAATTGAAACCCTTACGAATATTTGATAGAAAATAATAGTAAAAATTTCTACACCTTCTAACAGTTCCAACTGTTATGTATTTTACACAAATGGAATCAAGAACAACATTGCAACAAAGCCGTCAAGGAGGACGGATAATCTTTTTGAGGAAGGAAACCCTAAGAACGAAAATCCTGAAGCCGACCGACCCTGTTAGAAGGTGCCTAGATTCTATTGGCTATCCGTACTCCGCACACGTAGTAACTTTAATGACAGTGTAACTCATTGGCATGCTGGCGATCGGCTTTATAATAAAATCTTAATTTTATAACTGATTATACGTAGTGTATTTATTAGTTATATAATTGATTAGTTTATTTGATGCAAAAGTATTATCTCTTTTTAAATTTTTCAGCTTTTGATGAGCAGTTTGTAAGGAATGCCTTCTACATTTATTTCGAGATACTAATAAAAGTAAACAAGAATTATCCCGTCTTATATATGTCTTCCGGAATATGAAAACTTAAGGTAGATACAAGCAAATAAAAATGAGAGTTTCCTTCATATTTATAAAGAGGAGTATTTTATAGTTGACGTATATGATCTGAACCGATCGGGAATAGGTAAGCAAGCAAGATGCGAGATTCTAAATAAGAATGCTTTAAACTCATAAATTCAAAATGTACTTACGAACGAACCACTTCGAACTGCAAATATTCAAGAGGTGTACATTCACAAATACTATACTGTCGAAATCAACGATAAAATACATCTATTCCAAACAAGAAGAACACACAACTTTTAACATCTACATTCAGTTAAAAACCTTCCTAGGATCAAGCAGTTAAATATTCCCAATTCAATGGTATCACCTGCATTTCCAAATCTGATTTAAGCGATCTTCCAAACAAAGGAATTATTCAGAAAATAATACCCAGAGTTTCAGTCAACAATAAGTGATAGTAATACATAAGATTTATAAAACAGCATAAGTATTATGAGATTTCAACAGGAAGTTGTACTTCCAAAGATGCTTTGAGAGTTATATTTATAAATAGAATCATTCTAATAAATTTTGTATATAAAATGATTTATTTTATAACGATAATCAAAAGACAATATGTAGCAGGTCGATTCCTAAAAAGAATTTCAAATTAAGGGGAACATTTTCAATAAACCTAATATCCTTTATTTTATATCTACCATAGGTAATTTCTGACCTACCCCTATTTCTCTATTAGCTATGATATACCTTTAAATATCATTTAAACAATTTAAATAATATTGCTATGCAGTGTTGCCCCTACTGGTCGAGGTGCGAATTAATTCCAATTAGCGACAGTAGCGACCGCCAACATTAGAGCATATCTATTTCGTACTTAACCGTCGCAAAGAAAACGAAAGAATACCTATGTACTAATAGGTATAGAAACCTCAAAGATATACAGGGTTTGTCCGGAAAGTAATAGGACTGATTTCCGCCGCGACTGTACTTCGGAGCGTGCGCGCACCGACTGGATTCGGTAGAGGGCATTCAGGACAGGCTTTTTCGTTTCATGTGTTGCTATGAGTGGCGCAAGCCGAAAATGAAGCGTTCGTTAGAGCAGAGGTACGCGATTAAATTCTGTGTGAAACTCGGTAAATCTGCGACAGAGACGTTTGATATGATCAAGCAGGCTTACCCAGATGTTGCTTTTGCAAGAAGTGGTGTGTTTCGGTGGCACCAGGCCTTTTCAGAGTGCCAGGAAGAAGTCGCCGATGAAGACCGTGCTGGAAGATCTTCGACAAACACCAACAATGTGACTCGTGTGCGCGAAGTTCTGAACTCAGACCGTCGACTAAGTATTCGTTTAATTGCCCAGAAATTAAATTTACCAAAATCTGTGGTTCATGACATTGTGACGAAGCATTTGAACATGCGCAAGGTGTGCCCGAAGATAGTCCCAAAAGAGCTCACTGACAACCAGAAATTGCGGCGAGTGAAAGTGTGCCAAGAAAATTTAAACATGTGTGAAAGTGACCCCTAATTTTTGAATAACGTAATCACAGGTGACGAGTCATGAATCTTTGAGTGTGATCCCGAGACGAAGAGGCAATCTTCCCGAGTGGCACACGCCGTATCTCGTCTCCCAAAAAAGGGAAGAATGAGCAAATCCAAAGTGAAAACGATGCTCATTGTCTTTTCTGACATGAAAGGCATCGTCTACCATGAATTTGTTCCTCCTGGTCAAACCGTCAACGCCAAGTTTTACGTGGAAGTGCTTAAAAGACTCAAACGAAGGATCAATCGGGTCCTACAAGACATCGCAACCGACTGGAGGTTGCACCGCGACAACGCCCCGGCTCACATCGCCTTTCTTGTGGACAGCTACCTGACCAAGGCCGGCATCCCAACGCTTCCGCAGCCGCCCTACAGCCCAGATGTGCCCCTCTCGGACTTTTTTTTGTTTGCTCGCCTGAAAAGGCCGATGAAAGGTAAACCTTTTGTGACGACTGAGGGGATCCAAGCACCATGCACCGCGGCTCTTGAGGCTATTCCGGAGAATGGCTTCCGTGACGCCTTCAATGCTTGGAAATAGCGCTGGCAGTGCTGCATCGACGCAGAAGGAGCCTATTTTGAAAGTTTTTAAAGAATTGTAACGATTGGCTTAACAAATTTTTTTAAATCGACTCAGACCTATTACTTTCCGGACAAACCCTGTACTTTAAAGTCCGTTGATATCTTTACAACCTTTTATAGCAACCGCACACCACAGGTAACGTTATAGCCGAAATGATTTCAAGTGGTATGCACCCCCGACAAAGATACCATCCGAATTTGGACAGGTTACAGTCAATGGTTATATAAAATAATCACCGATATCGGCCGAAAGAAAGGATAAAATTAAAGATAGATTGGCGTTCGTCGTTCAGAAGCAAACGTCCTCTTTGATCCTGAAAATAGCTCGCTTTCACAATAATGTTACACTACGCAAGCGTTTCTGCCATCTCGCCCAAATGCGAATTCTAGTGGCAGTACAAAGGCAGATCTGTAACAGAGAAAACGTTCTTCGGAGTTTATCCTCTGTCCACAGACAGTTACGTATGCAAAAGTATTATCTCTTTTTAAATTTTTCAGCTTTTGATGAGCAGTTTGTAAGGAATGCCTTCTACATTTATTTCGAGATACTAATAAAAGTAAACAAGAATTATCCCGTCTTATATATGTCTTCCGGAATATGGAAACTTAAGGTAGATACAAGCAAATAAAAATGAGAGTTTCCTTCATATTTATAAAGAGGAGTATTTTATAGTTGACGTATATGATCTGAACCGATCGGGAATAGGTAAGCAAGCAAGATGCGAGATTCTAAATAAGAATGCTTTAAACTCATAAATTCAAAATGTACTTACGAACGAACCACTTCGAACTGCAAATATTCAAGAGGTGTACATTCACAAATACTATACTGTCGAAATCAACGATAAAATACATCTATTCCAAACAAGAAGAACACACAACTTTTAACATCTACATTCAGTTAAAAACCTTCCTAGGATCAAGCAGTTAAATATTCCCAATTCAATGGTATCACCTGCATTTCCAAATCTGATTTAAGCGATCTTCCAAACAAAGGAATTATTCAGAAAATAATACCCAGAGTNCCTATGCCACAATAATAATTAAAGCCTTTAAACATCCATTATTTCGGAATCAAAAATAATATAAACAAGTGCGAACATTTGTCCTTTCCGGCTATTAAAGTTCTCGAATTAAAAGATCTGTTTTGATTAATTTTCCTCAATTCAATTGAAATGTTGTTTGTAGTTTTGTTTTCGACAGCTGAACGATGAAACAAATAAAAGAACGAGAGAACAGGGTGCCGTCTAGTAGGTGAGTACGTGTGTATAGCTTGGTAAAACAACCCTTGGCGTTGTGACCATAGCCTTCAAACAACAGAACGAAATTACAGAACCGCAATAAAAGTTTTACGTGAGAAACCGGGCAGCGAAGAGAGCAGGTAGGTTATATGGCAGCAAACAGCTTCTAATTAAACTTAGTAAACAAACACCACTCGAATTTTACGTCTGCTTTCCGAAAATGATTGCGAAACAAAAGAAACAATTCGGCCAATCAAGGACCAAGTGTCGTACGTAAAAGTAGGCCAATAAAAATGAAAAAGGTAAATAAAAGGAGTTAATTGGTTGAATCAAAATTCAAAAAAGTTGACCAAACTGAATTAATACAATTAAAAACTCGACGTTGCGACTCCAATTTTTGAATAAATATCTGACTATTACATCGCCATCATCTGATATTAGCTGCAGTTCAGTTTTGACAAGTCGGGTAAAACATCCGATTAATCGAAATCATTTAAAAGAAGGGTGGTCAACCCAAATGATCTTACGGGTCATTTTGGAAATAAACCACAACTCTGTGGGCCACATGTAAAATTATATATCTCCTTATTAGATTTAGGTCCACAGACCTTCTGTTGAACTTATAACTATAAACTCATTAATAAGATACGTAATATTTCTTATATACTCACAAGAATATTGTTTTAAAATCAAAGTTAATTTTCTCTCATTGTTGCAACAGTTAATTATTGAATATATAGTCGCACAAATAATGTATCTTTTGAAGTGAAACTTTATCAACGCTAGGAGAGAAATTTACTGAAAAAATGTAACGTCACGCGTCACAGCGTTACGCTTCACGTGTAACCTCTGGTGGATATGTCCAAAAGAACTCATTTTAACAGTCTTCAGAAGCCCACCGTTCAATGCAATGTGTAAAGTATGCCTACGATCCCTAATTAGATTGACTTCTTCTATTGCACTATTTTTGTATATATAAAATGAAACAACATCTAGATATTTTAAGATCGTAATTCTCGATAAGAAAATTTTCCAAACTTCGTAATCAGTGGAGGTCGTGAATTTTGTTCAGAAGCTAAATTTAAAAGGAGGACGGTGAGAACGGGGCCAACTTTAGCACATCAAAGACTTTCTAAATCATCTCTACTTTTCAGCACGAGCAACTCATGAAGAGCAATTAACTTTAATTAAGTTGGAAACTTCGACATGAGATCGCTTTTCTTCTTTTGTGATGGACGTATCTACTAGTAACATTGAACTACTTATTGGACATAAATCCAATCGAAATTAAATGTCAAACTTCACTGTCGATCTGTCGATCACAAATACGATAATTAAACAAAAAATCTCATTAAAAGAACTATTCAATCAAAACTGTTGCCATTTTCAGTAAAATTATTGAAAAAATTTTCCTTCTTAAGTAAAGGAACGAAAAATGCATAAGGACATGGATTAAAATAAGGATTAACGTGTACCTTATATTGATTTTCAGAGTAATAACAATTTTAGAATTGTAGAACTACTAACCAAATTATTATTATTATTAATAACATAATTTCAGTCCAAGTGCTAACGTGCTTTTATTATAAGAACCATAAATGTTTTACATACTTTAATTAGGTATGTTTCAGATTCAGTCAAGTTGGGGATCGATTAAGGCAAAAACTTTACAGCGTTAAGTGATAAATGGTGTTCACAATTATAAATAATTAGTATGAATGTACTTTGCTAAATAAAAAATTTTACTGCTTGTCTTCTCATTTACCTACACATCAATAAGCTATTTAAACTTTCACGCATTTCGCTAGCAAAGGAAACAGAAGAAAAACTTTCTTTCGGTAAAATCTATTCATTTTGAAACAACGTATTGATCTATTCATAAACCCTGTTACACAAGCATATTACTCTACTTGCAAAGTAACCTCAAGGCGTCATCGATTAGCGACTTATGCTAATTTGATACAATAATCCCATTAATGTCTATTTATTAATGTTACAGCCGAATTAAAATGTAATTTTGTTTTGTTTAACCTTTCATAGAAAAACTAGTAATATATGCGTCCTTATTATAAAATATTTTATACACAAAATAGTTACACAGCTTTGTGTCCTTTTCTAATTGATAAATTTAGTTACTTACATAACAATAAATCATTTAAATTCTTAAAAATTAAATGTGAATCCTTGAAATATAGAACTGCAATTAATATTTTTTTAAAGCACAACACATTACTAATTAATAAATAAATTTTAAGAATAAGGCAGTTTACTTCCATTCTGATAATCAGTAAATACTATTTATATATAAGTAAACAATTTTTATGAATTGTTCCAAAAAATCATTAAAAAAACTGTAACAAACTCCTTTTTGTAGTTTTTCAATTTAATAAATAACACATGTGCAATTTTGTCATCATAATTACTTTCAGAAATAAGGACAATGGATGTTTAAACAGCAAGGGACGAATGCTCTATTTGGTAGACTGATTAGTAATTATATACATAAATACCTACTTAATCAATCCTATTATTTCGTAAAGATTCGATTAATGTGGATGAATTGTGAACCGATTTTAATTATCCTTTTCTTATTAGATTTGAATAAACATTTCATCTATAAAGCTAGAAAATCTAATCTCATTTCCGCCTGATCTTTCTGGTTGTATATGGACTACAACTCAAATATGACCCTTTATTTTGATTTGTTAACTTTTTAATTTAGGTTTAATATAGAATTTTTCTTTAATAAATAATGAATAGTCCTTAATTAATAAAGTAACCCTTCGAACTGCTAGCGTAGTAAACATCGCAAATAAAATTATTTGTTCAGTAATTAGTCAAACGAAGTATTTAAATTTTGCTTTCAACAAGTCGGAGACAAATGTAACAAGCACAACTACGGACTAGCTAAAGTCAATAAACAATATCAAAGAAAAATTTTGTATAACGTTTCTCACTTCAAATTTATTCTTGGCTAATTCATAATGGTAATCTGCCTTTCAAAATCCTTGAGAATAAGTACCTGCGTTTAAATATTAAATCAATTTTAATACATTCAAAAATTGAGTGTAATTTGTAAATAATTTAATAGGCAAAAGGAATTTGTGCTTGTAAGGATATTGACGTGAACGAGTTGGTCCCGCAATACTTTAATATTGTTAGAAATTGCGATCAAGAAATTACGTATCAATTTGAAGGGAGTTAATTAAAAAGGGAATGGAGGGTGGTCGAATTCCGTTCCTCTTTTAATTAGATATATCCGCGGCTAAAATGGGTCGCTGGAGTTTAGCAATACGCATCTTTTAATTCCAACCCTGAGTCCTTATTTACAGCTTTAAAGGTTTCAAACAAATTTAGCTTAGGCACTCGCAATCTTTCGCAAATTGCACCAACAAGGACTTTATAACAAGGACGTTCACTCGTTAAAAACTTCTGGAACCGCTCGTGCATTAACATCAAAAGAAATTTTATTTCACGGTGCATTCAAATTGGCTCTCACCATATGCCCGACGTAAACTGTATGAAACCGAGAAATTTTTAAAAACAAATGCCACAACTGCTTCCGCATTGAACCGTTTTAGAACTTAGCCCAGCGGAAAACTTTACTATACTACCATAATTATATAAATCTGCCGCTTTCTCCAGGTATACCTTCTCGATATATACATCTATACCAACGTACACACTTTCTCTAGTACCTTGCATACGTCTGAAAACGATTTTAACTCAAAGGACGCTGTGAAACGAAGCGATTGTGTTTGGAATTAAAGAAGAAAACGAAAAAGAAATTCATTAAAGCCTTAAAGTGAGACAATCTTATCACGGGATCGGTATGATCTGCGTGGTATATACGAAATGGCAGTATACTGGTATGTACAAAATTGCATGATATTCTAGATTCGTATGTTGAGACGATAATGCCAAGGTATTTATATCAGCCATGCACAAGATATTTACATCAGCAATGCACTGTCAACATCTTGTACACAGCAAGACGTCGACCATACTTAAAATTCTAAGGTATTCACATGAGCATGTGGCACGGCGAGAATGCGGTGAGCTTCCTGTGAGCTATACGATGCCGATATTGCAAAAATGCCAAGATATTTATATGAGCAATGCGGAAAGGCGAGAACATGGCGAGCTTCTGTTATGCCATAAGGCTGCTGATATTTACATCGGCAATGCACAAGATATTTACATCAGCAATGCACTGTCAACATCTTGTACACAGCAAGACGTCGACCATATTTAAAATTCTAAGGTATTCACATGAGCATGTGGCACGGCGAGAATGCGGTGAGCTTCCTGTGAGCTATACGATGCCGATATTGCAAAAATGCCAAGATATTTATATGAGCAATGCGGAAAGGCGAGAACATGGCGAGCTTCTGTTATGCCATAAGGCTGCTGATATTTACATCGGCAATGCACAAGATATTTACATCAGCAATGCACTGTCAACATCTTGTACACAGCAAGACGTCGACCATATTTAAAATTCTAAGGTATTCACATGAGCATGTGGCACGGCGAGAATGCGGTGAGCTTCCTGTGAGCTATACGATGCCGATATTGCAAAAATGCCAAGATATTTATATGAGCAATGCGGAAAGGCGAGAACATGGCGAGCTTCTGTTATGCCATAAGGCTGCTGATATTTACATCGGCAATGCACAAGATATTTACATCAGCAATGCACTGTCAACATCTTGTACACAGCAAGACGTCGACCATATTTAAAATTCTAAGGTATTCACATGAGCATGTGGCACGGCGAGAATGCGGTGAGCTTCCTGTGAGCTATACGATGCCGATATTGCAAAAATGCCAAGATATTTATATGAGCAATGCGGAAAGGCGAGAACATGGCGAGCTTCTGTTATGCCATAAGGCTGCTGATATTTACATCGGCAATGCACAAGATATTTACATCAGCAATGCACTGTCAACATCTTGTACACAGCAAGACGTCGACCATATTTAAAATTCTAAGGTATTCACATGAGCATGTGGCACGGCGAGAATGCGGTGAGCTTCCTGTGAGCTATACGATGCCGATATTGCAAAAATGCCAAGATATTTATATGAGCAATGCGGAAAGGCGAGAACATGGCGAGCTTCTGTTATGCCATAAGGCTGCTGATATTTACATCGGCAATGCACAAGATATTTACATCAGCAATGCACTGTCAACATCTTGTACACAGCAAGACGTCGACCATATTTAAAATTCTAAGGTATTCACATGAGCATGTGGCACGGCGAGAATGCGGTGAGCTTCCTGTGAGCTATACGATGCCGATATTGCAAAAATGCCAAGATATTTATATGAGCAATGCGGAAAGGCGAGAACATGGCGAGCTTCTGTTATGCCATAAGGCTGCTGATATTTACATCGGCAATGCACAAGATATTTACATCAGCAATGCACTGTCAACATCTTGTACACAGCAAGACGTCGACCATATTTAAAATTCTAAGGTATTCACATGAGCATGTGGCACGGCGAGAATGCGGTGAGCTTCCTGTGAGCTATACGATGCCGATATTGCAAAAATGCCAAGATATTTATATGAGCAATGCGGAAAGGCGAGAACATGGCGAGCTTCTGTTATGCCATAAGGCTGCTGATATTTACATCGGCAATGCACAAGATATTTACATCAGCAATGCACTGTCAACATCTTGTACACAGCAAGACGTCGACCATATTTAAAATTCTAAGGTATTCACATGAGCATGTGGCACGGCGAGAATGCGGTGAGCTTCCTGTGAGCTATACGATGCCGATATTGCAAAAATGCCAAGATATTTATATGAGCAATGCGGAAAGGCGAGAACATGGCGAGCTTCTGTTATGCCATAAGGCTGCTGATATTTACATCGGCAATGCACAAGATATTTACATCAGCAATGCACTGTCAACATCTTGTACACAGCAAGACGTCGACCATATTTAAAATTCTAAGGTATTCACATGAGCATGTGGCACGGCGAGAATGCGGTGAGCTTCCTGTGAGCTATACGATGCCGATATTGCAAAAATGCCAAGATATTTATATGAGCAATGCGGAAAGGCGAGAACATGGCGAGCTTCTGTTATGCCATAAGGCTGCTGATATTTACATCGGCAATGCACAAGATATTTACATCAGCAATGCACTGTCAACATCTTGTACACAGCAAGACGTCGACCATATTTAAAATTCTAAGGTATTCACATGAGCATGTGGCACGGCGAGAATGCGGTGAGCTTCCTGTGAGCTATACGATGCCGATATTGCAAAAATGCCAAGATATTTATATGAGCAATGCGGAAAGGCGAGAACATGGCGAGCTTCTGTTATGCCATAAGGCTGCTGATATTTACATCGGCAATGCACAAGATATTTACATCAGCAATGCACTGTCAACATCTTGTACACAGCAAGACGTCGACCATATTTAAAATTCTAAGGTATTCACATGAGCATGTGGCACGGCGAGAATGCGGTGAGCTTCCTGTGAGCTATACGATGCCGATATTGCAAAAATGCCAAGATATTTATATGAGCAATGCGGAAAGGCGAGAACATGGCGAGCTTCTGTTATGCCATAAGGCTGCTGATATTTACATCGGCAATGCACAAGATATTTACATCAGCAATGCACTGTCAACATCTTGTACACAGCAAGACGTCGACCATATTTAAAATTCTAAGGTATTCACATGAGCATGTGGCACGGCGAGAATGCGGTGAGCTTCCT